GCGGGGCAGAGCGACATTTATTGCTGCCAGATTCTTTTGTTTTATGCAGAAACGCGTCAAATGAGCCTAATTTTACTGAAATCGGAGATGCAACAAGACTTACTTTTCTCTAGGGATATGACAAAATTTTATGCTCACAAAGATGGCGACCGCTTACTGTGAGCAGCTAATGAGCGCTTGCATCTAATATACGATCCTAGGGTGCTCAGGGTGCTGTCCCATGATACGGAAATTACACCGGAACGGAACAGTGAGACCAATCACAATCGCAGAAAGGAAAGTAGAGTAATGATTGCAGAGATCTGATTGGTCTCACTGTTCCGTTCCGGTGTAATTTCCGTATCATGGGACAGCAGTCACATAGAGTCAGAAATAACGGAACGGAACTGTAAGCCCGGATCCTCATACGGACAACAGCGCTTTGACACCGGACGCTGATTGGTGAAAAACGGGTTATGGGGGTAAATTTTACCCTCGCCACCGGTTTTTCACCAATCAGCGTTTGGTGTCAAAGCGCTGTTGCCCGTATGAGGATCCGGGCTAACGGAACATTGATAGAAAAGAGATAGAACAATCCTATCTCTTTTCTATCAATGTTCCGTTCTCATTCCGTTCCGCTATTTCTTTCTCCATCGGGATGCACCCTCACTGAGCGCTCAGTGTAAAGCTGTACGCTCATTGGATATCGCGCGTCGCGCGCGACAAACATCGCGCTGGTGTGCACTGGCATTACGTTCTTTGTCAATTGGTTTGATTGCCAACCAATCCCCACTCAATGGTGTGATAGGCCGGACGGACGCGCGTATTCGCCTATATTTAAAAATTAATCTTGTTAACTATTGCTGCAATTTCAAAATGGTACAGGACTTTTCGACTCAGCTGTTCTATCCACGCATGAAATATTTGGCGGTTAATTTCAGACACCAGTGTATATGTTATTATGTATACTTATATATATTAAACTTATATGTTATTATATATACTTATATGTATATAAAATAACACAATCTTTGTTAATTGTTGCCTCGTATTTATGCAATGTCCAATATGGTTTTCAGTACTTTTTTGGTATAAGATCAAATGCGACATTTACAGTAAGCTATAATACTATTGTCTTTAAGGCGAAAAACACATACTTTTGCATAACGCATAAACTAGAGAACCTCTAGTAGAGAGAATCGCCAACTTGGTCACGTGACCAATTACGTGATTGGCTGGCGGAAATGAGCAGATTTGGGCATCTCGACGCCAATGCATTACGTCAGAACACATGGCGGCCCCATCATTCGCGATGAAATATTTACTTCTCGATTAAATGGTCCAGGGTCCGGGAACGCCGTCGGGGTACACGAACACGAAGACTGCCACTGCTGGGGTCAGTCTACCACGCTTTAAATCACGTCATATAAGGTTAGTGATCGTTGATCGACTCTAGTTGATCGTGTTAGTAATTATGTTTTAATATTATTTAAATTTGTTATAAATTTGACGAAATATTAAAGTGTTTATTGGCAAAAATCATAAGTAAACTTTTATTACATAAGAGATGTACATTTAGGTATTGAAGTTT